ACATCCAACTAGGAAAGATCCCCATCTATTCCTTTCATATGCATCACCTCGCCTGGGGACTCGTATAACAGCCCAGCGTCTATCCAAGTGGATAGTGGACTTGGTTCGTCTTTGCTACCTCCTGGCAAAACAGCCGTTGCCTGGTCCCATCAGAGCTCACTCCACTAGGGCTCTCGCGACATCTACAGCTTTTCTGAAAGGTGTGCCAATACATGACATCTGCAAAGCTGCCACGTGGGCTACCCCCAATACATTTATCAGGCACTACGCCCTCGACGTCCGACGCACCAATAAGAAGATAAACAGGTTGCTTACCAGTAACTGGTGATCTTCGAGTGGTCATCTGTGCATTCACACCACCCGCCCTCCTTCCCCTCTGCTGTCAGCTCCTAATTTTTTGATAGGTGTTGATTGGCGGCGGTGCTTTGAAGGAACTGGCGGGATCTCCGCGCCCGTCCCCTCTGGGCATGCGTGCTGGGGTTCCTGCGCATGCTCAGTGGGACTCGCGCGAAAATCCTTTGAAACATAGCTTGCTACGGCACCGGTTGGGTCAGCGCAGGCGCACTAAACCCATTGGTGTGAATGCACAGATGACCACTCGAAGATCACCAGTTACTGGTAAGCAACCTGTTTTTCTCCCTTGGGACCTGGTGACAGGGGAGACTGAGAGGCGATGTGATAACCAGCTTCAAGCTCTTGAAGGGCTGTCATATAGAGGATGGTGCAGAGTTGTTGTCTGCTGTCCCAGAAGGTCAGACCAGAGCTGACAGGTTAAATTAAACCAGAAGAGTTTTCGGCTGAACGTTAGGAAGAACTTCCTGACAGTTAGAGCAGTTCTTCAGTGGAACAGGCTTCCTCAGGAGGTGGTGGGCTTTCCTTCTTTGGAGGTTTTTAAGCAGAGGCTAAGTGGCCATCTACCAGCAAGGCTGATTCTGTGAGCTTCCTGTGTGAGTTGTGAGGGAGATCATGGGAGGGAGGGCAGGAAGGGTTGCACCAGTGCTTAGTTCTCATGGCCCTTTCTTACGTACCCAGGGGAATGCTGGGATCAGGAAGCAATTGTTCTCCAGGCCAATTTGGCCAGGGATCCTGGAGGTTTTTTTGTCGTCTTCTGGGCATGGAACAAGGGGTCACTAGGGGTGTGTGGGGGAGAGATATTTGTGAATTTCCTGCATTGTGCAGGGGGTTGGACTAGATGACTCTGGAGGTCCCTTCCAACTCTATGGTTCTGTGACTCCTGCTGCCCAGATGGTCCTTCGCGGAGCAGAAACAGAAGGCTGCGTGATCGTCTCGGCATCCAAGGCCCAGCTGCTCCAGTGCCAGCACCACCCAGCCTGGTACGGGGACACACTCAAGCAGAAGACCTCGTGGACATGTCTGCTGGATGGGATGCAATACTTTGCCACCACTGAAAGCAGCCCCTCGGAGCACGAGGATATGCAGCTCTGGCTGGAGGTGAGCAAAAGGAATGGAGACTGGGGATTCCTTCATCTGGTTTTCTTTCCGAGGGGCCAGCCATGTACCTTCTGAAACACTCAAGCAAGCTACGAAAGCAGCAGGTGGTGCTGATTCCTGGTATCTGGCATTTTGAGGTATACTGCCTCTGACTATGGAGGTTCTGTTGACAATCCAAGAGCTTAAGAAGCATCCTGCTGGACTAGAACAAAGGGCATGCTTAGTACATATTCAGTGTCTTAATGGGCCAGCCAGGCCTCTGGAAGTTCAACAGGGAAGTCGTCTTGTCCCAGTAGAATCTGATTTTCTTGGTGTTCAGAAATCACCTGGCCCTTGTTGTAAGAGGAAATGGGGTGTATTCAGAGGCAGAATTCTCTCAGCAAAGAATAGACCACGATTTGTTACTTGCATGGTTTGGGCTTACTCCAAAGACTACTGCTGGGCATATCAGGGAGCCTGGCATAGCTTTGTTATAGGAGGAGGAAATTGGATTTATACCCCACACTTCACTACCTGAAGGAGTCTCAGAGTGGCTTACAAACTCCTTTCCCTTCTCCTCCTCACAAGAGACACCCTGTGAGGTAGGTGGGGCTGAGAGAGCTCTTTTGAGAACTGCTTGTGAGTGAACGGCTCTGAAAGAACTTGTAACGGACCCAAGGTCACCCAGCAGCTGCGTGTGGAGGAGTGGGGAATCAAACCCGGTTCCCCCAGATTAGAGTCCACACTCTTAACCACTACACCACTATAGGCCCCTGCATTTCTTCCTCTTCCTTCTTCCTCCTTGCCCGCCAAGCCGCTGCTGTTCTCTTCCACTTCTTCCTCTGTCTCCAGGTCAAGAACATTGAGGAGCATCGACAGCGAAGCCTGGACTCTGTGCAGGAGCTGATGGAGAGTGGGCAAGCGGTGGGCGGGATGGTGAGCACCACCACAGGTCAGTGTGCCAGAGGAGAGTGAGCAGGCCCGGGCAGAAGAAGCAGGGCCTGCGATTGACCAACGGGGAAAGTCCTCCGTCTGCTACACTTGGGGCTCCCGGCCCTACCCCGTGGCCCCGATCTGGCAGGCACTGTTCCTCTGGGCCCTTCGGTTTCACGGGGCCGTCCCCAGGAGCCCGGCCGTAACCCTGCATCTGTTCCTCGTTCCCCCCCAGACTGGAACCAGCCCCACGAGGTCCAGCCGACACAGCAAGTCCAGCGGATCATCTCACGGTGCAGCTGCCGGATGTACTACATCAGCTACAGCCACGACATCAACCCGGAGCTGGCTGCCCAGATCAAGCCCCCCCAGCTGCCCGCCAACCCAGACAAGGACGACCTGCTGAAGAAGCAAGAGGGTGCGGTAGCAGGGGGGCAGGAGTGGGCACACCAGGCCCCGTAGCTAACGTGGGGCCCCCCCGCTGTTTTTGTGGGCCCCTCCCCCGATCCTCAGCTCCCCCTCCCTCCAGCCCCCTCAGCCCCTGATCGATCTGAGCCAGCGTCTCCCCCTTTGAGCTCATCTGCGATGAGACGAGTCTCTTTAGGACCCAGCAGCAACCGGTGGTTGACTGAGTCACACACACATTGGTTGGATCGCAGCAGTTCGCTCCTCCTGTTGGATTTTCTGCTCCAGGCTGGTAGGCTCAGGGAAGGAGTGAGGGAGGAGTAATGCCAATAAAGAGGTGTTGGGTGGGTGGGTGGGTGGGGGGGAGGGGGTGGGAGAGGAGGAGGTCCTCAGAGGAAGGCTCTAGTGGGGGCTGTGTGGGTGCAAGCCAGGCAGACCCCCCCTTGCCCTGGAGCCGTTGATGTAATTAGCTGGTGCCCCCCCCAAGTCCCCCTCCCCCAAAAATCCCTAGCTATGGGGCTGGGGCACACCTGGGAGGTTGGCCCCTTGGGGGGGGGCGGTGCATAGACAACTCTTCCCTCCTAATATATATTGGTCAGGGTGGGAGAGAGGAAGACAATGATGGTGTGGGCACCAGGAGAGCCAGAGAGGGAATGCAAGGGGCAGGGACGGATCTGATCCAGAATAGCCTTTTTCTTTTTTTAATGGAGTGCGCAGAGGCCATGGCTCTCCCCTCTTGTGGTTCCTCGCCTACCCCCCCCCCCCCCACCTGTGACTCAGAGGACCTGGGTCTGAACATGAAAGTTTCATTCAGCCATCATAGCTACTAGTGACTGATGGCTCTGTCTTCCATGCATTTAACGAATCCCCCTTTTAAAGTTTGTATATATGTCCTGTGGCAGGGAGTTCCACAAGTTAAATACTGTATTCTGTAAAACAACAACAACAACAAAAGATAAATAACTCTCCAGAATGGGGTCCAGCTTAAAGTGTGTCGTGATTTTCTGCACAGAGAATTGTTTTTTTAATTGCATGCAGTTAAAGTAGTCCTCCTGATCTTCAAAAATTAGGTTTACAGTTTTATTTCGGTTTTCCCTTTAAATACTGAGTCAGCATCAGGAAGTGGCTTATTCCAGCTAAAAAGGTGGCCTTGGGTGGAAGCTGAGTTCCTCCCTGCCTGGACTCTATCCCACCATGATCCAGATGGTTTCCAAGATCCCCCCAGCTCCTAACAGTCAAGTTCCACACACTAATGTTCCCTCTGATTTCTTCCTCCTTGCTGAGCAGAGCAGTTCACACCCTGAGCGGAACAGAACTGCTGCAATCTTTAAATGGGCAGAGCAAGACCCTGCGCGGCTCCAGATTGCCGCTGAGTGGGGCTTCCTGGGTTAAGGAGCGGCCGATCACGCACACAGCTTAGAGGGAACCCTGCACACAACCCCCTCCTCACAGCACACAAACCAGGAGAACTCAGTGGCTTCTTTCTTGGTAATTTAAATGGCAGAGGTCTGTTCCCCCCCCCCCCTTGATCTCGCATTCCTCGCTAACTCTGTGTGCGGGTGTCCTCAGAGGCTCGTGGAAATGGGCTCTGCGGAAAAGCAGTTCTGTTCTTGGGCCTGCATTTTTATTTAATTTTTCTCTTTTTTCTATGCAGCGAAAGTTCTGTCTGCGGCAGTCGGCTCAAACGTGCCGTTTCCACGGGGTGCCTCCCAGCCAACCTCCCCTTACTCTTCCTTTGTTCCCTCCCTTGCTGCTTCCAGGGGCCGCGGACACCTTCACGCTCATCCATCATGACCTGGAAATCTCCACCAACCCCGCGCAGTATGCCATGATCCTCGATATTGTCAACAACCTGCTCTTGCACGTGGAGCCCAAGCGAAAGGTGCTCTTGGGGGGGGGGGACACTTCCCCTGCTTTCCCGACTCCCAGGAAGGGTCGCAGCGCTTTGATGGGGGGCAGTTTCCGTGGGAGGAGACTGGGTGGCGTGCAATGCTCCCTCTAAGCTGTAGGGTCCTGTGAGCAAAAACTCTACTTCGTGAGCCACTAACATTAAAGATGTGAGCGAGTGATTTGGCCACTGCATAAATCAGTTTGCTCTGGAGCCCTCCTTCCTGAGCGAAGACAAAAATGCGTGAGCCGGAGGCTGGAAAACTGTGAGCTGGCTCACACTAACTTGCCTTAGAGGGAACACTGGCTGGTGTGTGCAGCAATGTTCCCTCTAAGCTGTAGGGTCCTGTGAGCAAAAATTCTACTTTGTGAGCTTCTGGCATTAAAGTTGTGAGCGAGCAATTTGGCTACTGCCTAAATCAGTTTGCTCTGGAGCCCTCCTTCCTGAGTGAAGACAAAAATGTGTGAGCCAGAGGTTAAAAAACTGTGAGCTAGCTCACACTAACTCAGCTTAGAGGGAACACTGGTGTGCAGTAGTCTCTGTGGCCTCAGGCTGTGGAGAGATTCAGGTTCCAATCCCCGCTCTACTTGCTGGGGGACCTTGGGCCAGTCACAGGGTCTCCGCCTATCTCGCAGGATTGTTTTTTTGGGGAGGGGAAAGGAAGCCACTTTGAGCCGCTGAAACGAAGGATGAGCCAGGTGGTCGGCCATGTTGATCTGAAGGAGCAGAACAACGTGTGAGTCCAGGGGCCCCTTAAAGACCCACAAAGGTTTATTCAGGGTATGAGCTTTCGTGTGCGTGCACACTTCCTCAGATACATTGGAATGGCAAGTAAGGTTCAGACATAGCCAGCGAATGAACAGCAGTGACCATGTTAATTTGCTGCTCATTCTCTGGCTATGAGTTTGAACTTTACCTGCCATTCCAATGTATTCAGAAAAGCATGCACGCACACGAAAACTCATACCTCGAACACACCTTCCTTAGTCTTTTTTTTTCTTTTCTTAATTGATATTTTATTATTTTCCAGGTAACATGCTTGCAACACGCATCTCATACATTTTAGAACACTATACATAGTATTACATCATATTATACACAGTATCACTGGCAATGTCTGCTTAGTATATGAGTATTGAGAAGAAGAAAAAATTTCCCCCCGTCATTGCCGGTGATTGCTTGAAAAACTATTTATTATCTTCTCCTTAAACTCCTAAACAAATAATACATGATTAATAAAGTGATAACTGGAATTAACAGAGTTATCTCAAGTTAGGCTTTACCCATATATCAGAGGCTATTTCTCATATATCCTAGCTGTCATCTTTTATGCCTTTTGATTACTTTTACTTCCTTGGTCTTAATGGTGCCAGTGGACTCTAAATTTGTTCTGAAACGAAGGACGGCCGTCACGCGTCTGCAAACAGGGCTGCCGGGCTCTCCCTTCGCTAACACCAGCCTTTCTCTCCCCACCCCCAGGAGCACAGTGAGAAGAAGCAGCGCGTTCGCTTCCAACTGGAGATCTCCAGCAACCCCGAGGAGCAGCGCAGCAGTATCCTGCACCTCCAGGAGGCCGTCCGCCAGCACGTGGCTCACATCCGGCACCTGGAGAAGCAGATGTACTCCAACATGAAGGTGACCAACCTCCCCGTGGCCAGGGTGACTTGGCCACCCTATATAAGAACATAAGAGAAGCCAATGTTGGATCAGGCCAATGGCCAGTCCAACACTCTGGCACACAGTGGCCAAAAATACCAGGTGCCACCAGGAGGTCCACCAGTGGGGCCAGGACACTAGAAGCCCCTCCCACTGTTGCCCCCCCCCCCGGCAAGCACCAATAATACAGAGCATCACTTGCCCCAGCCTGAGAGTTCCTCTCTATACCTTGTGGCTAATAGCCACTGATGGACCTCTGCTCCATATGTTTATCCAGTTCCCTCTTGAAGCTGTCCATGCTTGTAGCCACCACCGCCTCCTGTGTCAGTGAATTCCATGTGTTAATCACTCTTTGGGAGGGGGTGAGGGGTGGACTCTGCTCGACTCTCCCCCCCGCCCCGGTGACACCTTCCTTTTCCCTCCCCCTGGCAGTCCCTGCAGGGCGACAGCAGGAATGAGGCTCTGCTGGAGGCCAATCAGCAGTTGCAGCAGCAGTTGAGCAGGGAAAAGGCCGAGCTGCAGCGTGAGAGCGAGGAGCTGAACATCCTCATCAGGTACAGGAGCGGGATGGAGGGAAGCAGGCATGGCTGAGATTGAGGCTCCCTTGGGAGAAGAGATGGAGGCCATCTAGTCTGGCTTCCCTGCTACCAGCAGCGGCTGAAAGAGGTCTTAGTCTTTCCTTTGAGAGCTTCCCCGGCTCTGCTTAGCTCAAGCCAGTGGCCAGATGGCACGTCATGAGGATTTGGAACATGGCCTGGCACATGACTAAGAGAGTTAGCGTGGTGTAGCAGTTCAAAGTGTCGGCCTAGGATCCGGGACGCCCAGCCTCGAGTCCCCATTTGTGCCGTGGAAGCTCGCTGGGTGACCTGGAGCCAGTCACACACACTCAGCCCTAACCTATTTATTTATTTAATCAGATTTATACCCCGCCCTCCCAGCCTAGGCCGGCTCAGGGCGGCTTACATAAAATCAGCAAAACATTTGGTAATATAATAAAACATTTAAAATAGTATTAAAACAATTGCAAGTTCCCTAAAGTGCTAGATTGTAATAACAACATTCATGATGGCTTCCATCAGCTGTCTCTCTTCCCAGGCCGGCTCGCAGGTCTTCTATAGATGTCTTCAGTGTCTTTCTGGCTGTTGGTACAGGCTGTTAGGGCACATTCCAGGGCAGCGGGCTTCTATCCTAGCTGTTAGTGGTGGTGGCGACGCCAAAAGCCTGGCAGAAAAGCTCCGTTTTACAGGCCCTGCAGAACTACCTCACAGGGTTGTTGTGAAGATTAAAAAGGAGGAGAGGTTGTGAGCTGCTTTCGATCCCATTTGGGGAGAAAGGTGGAGTTCAAAAAAAACCCCAAACTGTTGCGTTGAGCTGGGGGGGGGGGGCAGGAGCAATGCTCCCTCTAAGCCGTGGAGTGTCTTGTGAGCAAAAATTCTACTTTGTGAGCTACTGGCATTAAGGTTGTGAGCGAGCAATTTGGCTACTGCATAAATTAGTTTGCTCTAGAGCCATCCTCCCTGAGTGAAGACAAAAAAGTGTGAGCCGGAGGCTAAAAAACTGTGAGCTAACTCACACTAACTCAGAGGGAACACTGGGCGGGAGGGTGGTGTCGTCCTCCTGCCAGCGCTAAGCTTGGCTAACCACAGCGGTGCACGTGCCTCCTCCCTTCCAATCTCCAAGCCTCTCCCCACACCGGCTTGTCCTCTTGGCACTGGCCTCCTTGCAGGTGCTTTAAAGACTTCCAGCTTCAACGTGCCAACAAGATGGAACTGCGCAAGCAGCCCGAGGACGTCAGCGTGGCCCGACGCACCGAGTTCTACTTTGCCCAGGCCCGCTGGCGCCTCACCGAAGAGGACGGGCAGCTGGGCATCGCCGAGCTGGAGCTCCAGCGCTTCCTCTACAGCAAGGTAGCACCCAGGGTGGGGAAGCAGGGAGGGCGCGGGACGGCAAGAGGCGGGCACCATTGGCCTAACCATTCTTTTGCAGGTGAACAAATCGGATGACACCGCCGAGCACCTCCTGGAACTGGGCTGGTTCACCATGAACAATCTCCTGCCCAATGCGGTTTACAAGGTGGGTTGAAGTGGGGAGGACCAGGATCTGAAGCCAGAGTGGTGGTGGTGGTGGAGGTGATGCACGCACCAGAGTTGAGCCCCAGAAGTCTTACAGAATGGCAAAAGTGTAACAATAAAAGCAATGTGTGGGAATGTCTGGAGCTGCCCTACGCAGCTTCAAACCCTCGCTCCCTCCGAAGAGGAGGACTGGCGGTGGTTGTCCAGGGTCTCTAGCATGAAGAAGTCTTTCCAGACACCTGAGATCCCTTTAGTCAGGGATGCCAAGAACAGAGCCTGGGCCGATCTGCAGGCAAAACACGTGCTCAGCTCCTCTAAGGAGAGTAGTTCCGAGCGTACCCAAACGTGCCTTTCCTTTCACAGGCCACGCTAGCCTACCTGGGCAATAATAATAATAATAATATATAATTATAATTAATGTTTTTGATTTATTGATCGCTCTTTCCCACATACCTGCGGGCTCAGAGCGATTTACAGTTACTCTTGAGGCAGTTGGACTAACAATATTTGTGGGGATAGGGAAGACAAACATACAGCATTAATTACACACACATTGCAGCTAGCCGGGGTTCATCTGCGGGCTGGGTCAGTCGTGTTCCTACGGCATCTTGTCGGCTGGTTGATGACGTCTGGCTTCTTGATGTTGTGCAGCCACACACTGCCACCGCCTGGCCAACTTGCTTCACTACAGGGAAGCCGACACAGTTCTTTCGTCTTTCTGGTCACCGCGGCTCAGCAGTTGCCTCGGCAGCTAACACCTTCCCAAAGGGAGGGGTGTGCCCACCCCCTTACGGGTGGTCCCCAATTTATCTACTCGCCGAAGCTTTCGAATCGCTGGGTAGACGATGAGCTAGGACAAGGCTTGGTTGCTCACACCAGCACACTTTAGGAAGCTGGCGCCTTTGAAATGGTTTGTGGGAGGGCTTCTAATGTCCTGGCCCCACTGGTGGACCTCCTGATGGCACTGGTATTTCTGGCCACTGTGTGGGCCTTTGGCCTGATCCAACATTGGCATCTCTTATGTTCTTATGTCTTATTAGCCTTTTTTCTTCGCAAGCTCCACCTTCTCTATGTTGCCTTGCAGGTGGTGCTGCGGCCCCAGAGCGCGTGCCAGTCCGGGCGCCAGCTGGCCTTGCGCATCTTCAGTAAAGTCCGGCCTCCGGTGGGAGGCATTTCCATCAAAGAGCACTTTGAGGTGAGGGAGGGAGGGAGGGGGAGAGGTAGGACCCCGCCCTGCCCCGCCTGTCCTCCGGCACATGCATCCGGCCAGGGGAGGCTGTGATCTAACTGCGGCCGCCGCTGTCATCCCGGCAGGTGAACGTGGTGCCCCTCACCATTCAGCTGACGCACCAGTTCTTCCAGCGGATGATGGGCTTCTTCTTCCCGGGGCGCAATGTAGAAGAGGAGGAGGTGGGGGACGAGGAGGACAAGTCGAAGCTTGTGACAACAGGTGAGCTACCAGGACATACATACCCCCCCCCGGCTCCTCCTGGAAGCAAAAGCGACACGTGGCGCCAAAATGCAGCTTGTTCAGGCCTCCCAGTGCTCTGGTTAGCCACTGGTGTGGACCAGGATGCCCGACAAGATGGACCTCTTTGCTCAGCCCAATTGAGCTGCTGTTGTGCTGTTCTGTTCAAACGGTGCTTGGGGATCTCTCACTTGGGAATGAATGGCCAAAACACAGCAGGGAGGAGGCAGTAGCAAGCCATCCCTGTAGGGTCAGCAGAGAGAGAAGTAAATTAGTAGAGAGAAACGAATTACAAGCTTCTCTGTGCGCCCAAACACGACCCGTCTGCAGAGGAGGTGCCTGCTGCGTCTCTGATCTCTTGGTCCCTCTGAACCAGTCTTCCCTCTAAGCTGAGTTAGTGTGAGCTAGCTCTCACAGTTTTTTAGCCTCCGGCTCATGCATTTTTGTCTTAGGAAGGATGGCTCCAGAGCAAACTAATGTATGCAGTAGCCAAATCACTCGCTCACAACTTTAACGCCAGTAGCTTGCAAAGTTAGAATTTTTGCTCACAAGACTCCACAGCTTAGAAGGAGCATCGCTCCGAACTCCCTGCTTCAGTTGTGGGAGATCTCCTTGTGCACCTGGGGCGGTGGCATTATCGTGGCAGCTTCAGCTCTTGCCATGGGAGGCAGTTTGAAATCTCGCTGCTCCTGTGGGAGGGACCTGCTGGGGATTGACAGCCTGGGTCCTTCTGCCTTGCGCAGGGATGCCGGTGGTGAAGCCGCGGCAGCTGATGGTCTCCGAAGACTCTCTGGGGCCGGGGAAAGGCATGGCCCAGGGACTGAACCGAACATCGGGGGTTAGGCGCTCGTTCCGCAAGACGCCCGAGGTAACTGCCCTGTTAACTCTGAGCTGGTGGAGTTTGGAAGGTGGGCGGAGTTTGGGGGTGGCCAAGCTTGGCTGGAGGGATCCCCATAGCCTACATTATGACGAAACCTGAGCGTCGAGCATTTCTGTATATGTCCAGCACACCTGTAAAGAAACAGTTTATACATCCTGTAAGTAAACAGAAAAACCGGGTAGCGTTCTGGAGCTGCTGTGGTCCCTTCTTTCTCCATAGCACCTCCACAAAAGGGGCAGCAACGTGGGTGGGAGAAGCAACTGTGGAAACCTGGGATATCTCGCAAGGAGGTGAGGGAGGACAAGCAGGCACGTGTGTAAGGCCCGGAAAGTGGGGGGGGGGGGGGGGGGTTCTCGCTCAGTGGCAGAGTGGCTGCTTGGCCTGCAGAAAGTCCCCAGCTCAGTCCCCAGAATCTAGCGAAAAGGCTCAGGGAGGAGGAGAGGGGACAGACCGCTCTTTATGCCCCTGGAGAGCTGCTGCCAGTCAGAGTAGACAATACCAGAATCGACCAAGGCTCTGACTCAGTGGCCGCATGTGTTCATCCGAAGAGGGGACCAGGTGCAGGCAGCATATTTGGTGTAGTGGTTAAGAGCGGCAGGCTCTAATCTGGAGAGCCGGTTTTGATTCCCCACTCCTCCACACGAAGGTGATCCTGGATCAGTCACAGCTCTCTCAGCTCCGCCTGCCTCCCAGAGTGTCTGCTGTGGGGAGAGGGAAGGGAAGGAGACTGTAAGCCGCTCCGAGACTCCTTCGGGTAGTGAAGGGCAGAGTATTAAACCAACTCTTCTTCTTTTCCAGAGCCAGTTTGGTGTAGTGGTTAAGTGCGCGGACTCTAATCTGGGAGAACCGGGTTTGATTCCCCACTCCTCCACTTGCACCTGGCTGGATGACCTTGGGCAAGTCATAGTTCTGGCACAGCTGTCCTTGAAAAAGGGCAGTTTCTGTCAAGAGCTCTCTCAGCCCCACCCACCTCACAGGGTGTCTGTTGTGGGGAGGGGAAGGGAAAGGAGTTTGTGAGCCGCTCTGAGACTCCTCTGGGTAGTGAAGGGCGGGTTATAGATCCAATCTCTTCTTCTTCTTCCTCATGCTGAGGCTTTTAGGGCTGGCTGGCCGGCTGGCCCAAGGCCCCTGCACAAATTAAGGGGGCTCAGCCAGCCGGGACGGTGCCCCCCTCGACACAGCACTTCACTGCATTGTTGTCTGTCTCCAGCATCCAGTGGATGACATTGACAAGATGAAGGAACGAGCTGCTATGAACAACTCCTTCATCTACATCAAGATCCCCCAGGTGCCCCTGTGCGTCAGCTATAAGGTGAGTGAATTGTTTGGAGATGCACCAGGGTTTTATTTTCCTGGCTGGGTCTCAGACCCTGCTTCCACATACCGCTGGCCACAAATAACACCCGCCAAGGGAAGACCATCAAGAATTTAGAACTATGCATCATCAGAATTGCATATTACGTTCATTAAAGTACAAGGATGGCTTAGTGGTCATAACCCAAAGTTACTTTCTGTTTTGGTGTCGATGGACACTATTCACGTATGGAAATTACAGAGGAGAGCCCCACTCTTGGTTTCTGAACAAGTTCTTTTTGTAAACAATGCCTAATTGTTATGAGCAGTCTGTTGGATGTGTGTTTATACGTTCTATTTGGGTTACATGACCACTAAACCATCCTTGTACTTTAATGAATGTAATGCACAATTTTGATCATATATAGTTGTGAAGTGTTGACGGTCTTCCCAGGCTGGGTGTTATTTGTGGCTATATTTGTACGCGAAGGGTTCTCTATTGTCTTTGGCTCCACATACCACTGGGCACGAGATGGACCCAGTCACTCTGGGTCCTTCACCTCAAAGTGCTCTTTGATGGAAATGCCTCGCACCGGAGGCCGGACTTTACTGAAGATGCGCACTCAGCTTGGAGCAAAAGGAGTTCCCAGCTGCACATCATCCTCGTCGGGCTCTTTGCGTTAACAGTGGCTTACAGCATGTGCCACAGCCCTTCCTACCTTCCGGGCCCTTCCTCTCTTTGGGTGGGGAGCGGGGGCTGTCCAGGCAGGCCAGTGGCCTTGACCCGCTGCCTCCTGTCTCTGTCTCAGGGGGAGAAGAACAGCGTGGACTGGGGGGACCTGAACTTGGTGCTGCCATTCTTGGAGTATCACAACAACACGTGGACCTGGCTGGACTTTGCCATGGCAGTGAAGCGGGACAGTCGCAAGGCCTTGGTAGCACAGGTAATGCGGAGGCATGTGGAATGTGGGGCTGGCTGCAGGGCTGGAGAACGAATGGCCCAAACGCAGCGGGAGGGAGCCGGTAGCAAGCCATCTCTTGAAAGGTCAGCGGATGAGTGGCAGAATCGCAGGGAGTGGCCTAGAAGGCTGGACATTTGCCAGCATGGCAGGGCTTGTAGGGGGTGTTCCTAAGAACCTAAGAAGCCCTGCTCCTGGAGATCAGACCAGTGGTCCATCTAGTCCAGCATCCTGTCTCACGCAGTGGCCAACCAGTTTCTCTGGAGGGCCAAGAACAGGGCATAGAGGCCGAGGTCTTCATAAGAACATAAGATGGTCCATCTAGTCCAGTGGTCCATCTAGTCCAGCATCCTGTCTCACGCAGTGGCCAACCAGTTTCTCTGGAGGGCCAAGAACAGGGCATAGAGGCCGAGGTCTTCATAAGAACATAAGATGGTCCATCTAGTCCAGTGGTCCATCTAGTCCAGCATCCTGTCTCACGCAGTGGCCAACCAGTTTCTCTGGAGGGCCAAGAACAGGGCATAGAGGCCGAGGTCTTCATAAGAACATAAGATGGTCCATCTAGTCCAGTGGTCCATCTAGTCCAGCATCCTGTCTCACGCAGTGGCCAACCAGTTTCTCTGGAGGGCCAAGAACAGGGCATAGAGGCCGAGGTCTTCATAAGAACATAAGATGGTCCATCTAGTCCAGTGGTCCATCTAGTCCAGCATCCTGTCTCACACAGGGGCCAACCAGTTCCTCTGGACAGCCAACAACAGTTGCCTCCTGGCTCTGGGATTCAGAGGTTTAGTGCCTCTGAATGTGGAGGTTCCTGCTTAGAGTCTCATTGCTGCCAAGAATTCACTAGCCAACCGCCACCTTCTTGGCCTCAGAAGCCTTACGCAGCAGTGTGGGGATTGAATATTCCAGTGCCATTTCAGGGCAAAGAGTAGCAACTTGTTTAGATTAAGATACTGATTGGGAGCGGAATGTTAAAGGACAACCTTTCCTCAAAAGCAGCAGCAGCTGAGTGGAAAGAGAGGAAGACTTTTACTTCCAGTCTCCACTGGAATGAATTTTTTGTGTAGCTGTTAGTCATGGGAAAGTCCGCGGGGGCTGTTAGTAAAGTAAAGAATTTTGGGTGACAGGTCTTGGGAAAGGCTCTCTATACTTAAGCTCCCAGAGAGCTGTGTCCACACACAGCTTTGGGTGAGAGAAGCCAGTAGCTACAAGGCAGCTTTCTATGTTTCTATATTATTTCAGAGGTAACAACCCCCCCCCCACCTGCTCCACACAGGTTATTCTGATGTTTATTTATTTTACACATTATTTATCGTAGTTACACACAGGATAATATAATATAAAATATGTAACCACATTGATACAACAGGTATGCAGACCAATTGGGCAATCCCCCTAAATACTAGTATCTAAATTTTCAATCCACTCAATTGCAGCTGGGGAGAATTCAAAGAGCTCTGTCACATCTCCATGGAAAGCATGACGCTCACATTCCTGTGGCAGATGGAAAATAATTTGGCGGGCTAAACCACAATCACATTTGGGTCATGGTATTTTGCCCCAGTTTAAACAGCAGGTCTGCACAACTTCCAAAGCCTGTTCGTATTCTATTAGTTTGTATTCTTTATGTGGCAAGTCTAATCCTGAGGGCCTCTTGTTGGTATTTTATCAGGCTGTGGATATCGAGTGGAACTGATTGCATCCATGTTCTCAGCCATTAATTCCCTAGATTGAAATTTTGTGGTTGCAGGATTTGTGCAGATCTGATCGCTGGTATTTTTACACAGAAGATGCAGAATCTAGCATAGTGGCTGCATTTCTTCCATGGTGGGGCTTGAGGGGCAGGATTTGAGCTGGGCTTCCCCCCCCCCAGCCTTTCTGGCTCCCTTTGAATCCCGTCCGCCTGCCCTTTGCAGGTCATCAAAGAGAAGCTGCGTCTCAAGCCGGCCGCTGGCTCAGAGTCCCGGGGGAAGCAGGAAGGCAAGCTGGAAGGCCACATCCAGCAGCAGGAAGAAGACGAGAAGGCCCGGCTGCTGATTGGCTTGAGCGTTGGCGAAAAGAATCCCGGCAAGAAGTCCATTTTCAGCAGGCACAAATAAGACTGCGCACACAAGCCCCACCCCGGCTGGCCAGGGAAGGAGGGAGAGGCGGACGTGTCTAGTAAACTGACTGTGTTCCCCCCTGGGGCCAAACACTCAGCCACACGCATCGCTTGGCCCAGCCCGGCCCCACTCTGAGCCTTGAAGGAATAGCAGGCCTGTCTCTAGTGGCGGGCCTGGAGGCCGAAGCCACATGTGCTGGGCAGGCAGACTGACCTGTTGGTGCTGCCGGAGCCTTCCCTCGACAGGCCGGGCCGGCGGGCAGCTCTATGCATTGTTGGTTGGGAAACGGGGAGCAGGAGAGTTTAAATAAGAGAGTTTATTATTTGGAGTTGCTTGTCGATCTTCCTTGTCTGATACTGGCGTAAGCAGAACCTGCTGGCCGGTGGCTGGATTCAGTTTGGCCCCCTCCGCCCTTTGGGCCTTCTCAGAGAGAGCCAGTCTTGGTGAGAAGCTTGGAGGCTGGCATGAGTCATGCACCGCTTCCTGCTCTTTGGCGCTCTTCTTGTCCTTCCAAGGAACTGTTCAGCCATCTGCATTTGAAAGGTCTCTCCAGGGACTCCTTTCCATGTGATGGTTTTAGCACAGAAATGCATTAGCAAAATAATCCTGGGCCACAGTGACACTTAACCTCCACGAGGCCAGAACGGGCATGACTTCTTAAGACAAAGATTCTCTGTTGCCTATACCTGCCTTTGGGTAGATGAAACAGGTGCTGGCGTCCAGTGTTCCCTCTAAGCTGAGTTAGTGCCAAGAGGACAAGCTGGTGGGGGGAGGGGCTTGGAGATTGGAAGGGAGGAGGCACGTGCACTGCTGTGGTTAGCCGAGCTCAGCGCTGGCAGGATGAGGACACCACCCTCCCGCCCAGTGTTCCCTCTAAGCTGAGTTAGTGTGAGCTAGCTCACAGTTTTTTAGCCTTTGGCTCACGCTTTTTTGTCTTCGCTCAGGAAGGAGGGCTCCAGAGCAAACTAATTTATGCAGTAGCCAAATTGCTCACAACTTTACTGCCAGTAGCTCACAAAGTAGAATTTTTGCTCACAAGACTCCATAGCTTAGAGGGAGCATGGCCTGTCACGAGCATCCTTAAGCATTTCAGACAGTGGGCATTTCAGACAGTGGGCCGTTCAGACAGTGGGCCTTTCTTCCATAAGACCCAGCACGTCAACAGCATTTTACACTCCAGTAGCAAATGCAGTGGGAAAGTGTACCAGTCCATTGGGGACAGGCTTGTGGGTACTCAGTGGTCTTTTCCCTTTTTGACAGGAGGTTACAGTGCCTTTGCGATGACTCCTCCTGCAGCAGAGGAGAAATTGGAGTTCCTTTTAGGGCTCTTAGCCCAGTCTTGCTGTCCCCTTTCCCCCCAGTTTTAGCAAGTGAGAAGGACAAGGAGCCCTGCATGCCCATGAGAATCCGATGTGGTGTTAGCCATTCATGTATGATGCAGAATTCTTGCATAAGTGTATTCCCGGGGTGATCCAAATTTTCATACACTTCATGTACTTTAGGAGAAGTAGGTTGGACTGACAGTGTACAGTTTTAGAGGTGGTGGGGTGATTGTTCCTCCTGCCACATTTCATTTGCCCTTTTGGGTTTTTTTTGCTAACACCACTCCTCCTGTGGGCAACCTGTCTCTGAAAGAAGATGCCATGGCTTTATAATTTATTTAGGAAATGTGAATTTCCTAGTGAGTTGCTTGTGGTTCATAGCTGTGGGACACGGGGGAAAACCAAACCACCCATGTTTATGGGTCTCTTTCACTGCTTCCAGTGCTGCACATAGTATGAATTTTTTTAAAAAAATTCAATTTATTGATCGCTCAATCCTTGCAGAGCTGCCGGCTCCGAGCGATTTACAGTTACTCATGAATTCACACGGGACTAACAATGATAGGGGTAAGGGAGGACAACATACATCTTTTTAATTCACACACATTTTCGCAGTCAACGGGGAGTTTGGTCATCTGTAAGGTTCAAATGTGTTCCGGCGTTGCTTGATGTCGTCAGCATTTTTCTCAGTCGCAGCGCAGCACTGCCACCGTCTGGCCGGAATGGCCCATTACAGGCTACTAGTATGAATTTGAATTCTTCCTCATGGTTCACTAGTGTAATGTTGCCTCCCATTGTCACCAAATTTGGGATTCCTTTCTTGCAGAGGCCACAGAGGGTTGGTTGCTTTAAGCACGCTAGGATGGAGCTTCTGGCTGCCTCAGTTAGGCAGAGAGCGCCTTTGGGGAAGAGACCCTCCACTAGGACCTGTCAGCGGAGCGCCCTTCAAGTCCTTTCTCTGCTGACCCAAGAATCTACACACACACACACACACACACACACACACACACACACACGACTTCTATCTCTTTAAGGGTGCGGATTTGTATTCCGAGGTGGGTCGCACCCGCCCTCCCTCGCTCCGTTCTCTTCTTCTCCCTCCCATTTGCTCTTCTGGCCTCGGGGAAGACGGTCCCGGCGACTGCGTGTTCTGGACCCAGGCGGGGCGCTTGCCTGGGCTGGGCGATGCCAGGCTGCCGTGTGGTGGGGGGAGGGGGCAGAGGGTGGTACTGTGCCACATGGTTTCTGTGTAGTCACGATCATGTGTCTTTGAGAGGAGGGATTACTTGCCAGACTGAAGAAGAATGTGCCATTGAACGGCAGCCCCACCGACAGGGCATTCCGGGGACGACAGGAGCTGAGGTGGTTTGCCACTGCCTTCTTCCACATAGCCACCCCTTCCTCCTCCTGAGTACTGACAGGGCTGACCCCCAAAGCTCTGATGAATCTGGGCTATTAGGGTTGCCGCGTTGCTGGTCAAGAATGCGTGGAGCCTCATCTCTGATCTCCCTGTGCCTGTTATCAATTGCCCGCGTGCCTGGAAGTTTTAAAAGCTGTTACTCCGCACAGACATACGAAGCTATGACATCCTGGGACAAAGCTGTTATCTCTCCGCTGTGCCATGCTATGAAGGTAGCCAGGCCAAAGGGATTTGCTTATAATCCTCCTAGGAATCCATTGTTGATTTAAGTAGTGCTCGCTTTCCTCTCTTAATAGCAGTGTGTATTGGGTGTGTGTGTAAGGATTCAGAACAGGGCTGGGAAAGCTGAGGGAAGGGGGGAAGATAATATAATCAGTGCTTTGACCACTACAGATTCCTGACACTTGCTTGCAAATCACTTCCTCCAACTTGCCAGGGAGGAGTCGGAAGGAGGAAAACCTGCCTAGTGTGATTACAGTCGTGCTCTCTAGAAGAGGGATTATTCCTGGCTCACGTTTGTTTAGATCCTCCTGACGGGCATTATTTTTGTGTCGTGAGAGCTCCCTTGAGGCTGGCTCTGCACCCTTCAAGGCAATTCAGATGCTTCCCCCCCCCCCCAATCTTCTGGGAGAGGGGGAAGGGGTTAAGAGTGACTTTGTAAAGCGAACCCAAGGAACGAGGCATGTTTCAAAACTGGTGTTGCCCCCCCCCCCCGCGGTAGTTTGCAGCTTGCCACCTGCCTCCCTGGCCCTAGGAGAACAGTGTGAGTGATGCACAAATCCTACAAAAGATCCTTTGAGGGCACCTCGAGGTCCCCTTGGTGCTAGAAGCCACTAAACCAACCGTGCATAGCGTTGCCAACTCTGGGTTGGGGAATAGAGATTTTGCAGGTCGGAGCTTGGACAGGGATGGGGTTTGGGGACAGGAAGGACCCCAGCGGGGTATAATGCCACAGAGGCCACTCTCCAAAGCAGCCATTTCCTCTACGGAAACTGATCTGGGACATTAATTGTAATGCTGGGAGATCACCAGGTATCCCCTGGAGGGTGGCAACGCTAGCTGCGTGTGGAGTGGGTCGGGGTGCCTGGAAGGAGGCCCCGCGGCGCTGAAAGACTAACGCCGGAAAGCGACATTTGGATAACGGAGCCGTGCAATGAGAAAACAAGCCCTTCTCCCGGCTGCTGCGCCAGATCGTCTCTCGTGTAACGAGAGGCGTTTAGTTTCTTGCTCCGCGCAAAGCCAGCAAAGCACGCGTCGAGGCTCCGGGAGGCTTGGTCGTCGCGAGTGGAATATTTGCACAAGAGGCGGGACTTGTATGGTAATGAATGGGCGGGGCCGTCACGCTTCGCCCGGGCTCTAGTATTTTGCAGAACAGGCGGGACTTGTATGGTAATGAATGGGCGGGGCCGTCACGCTTCGCCCGGGCTCTAGTATTTTGCATAACGGGCGGGACTTGTATGGTAATGAATGGGCGGGGCCGTCACGCTTCGCCCGGGCTCTAGTATTTTGCATGACAGGCGGCGGGCCTCGCATGGTAATGAGGGGGCGGGGCGCTTCGCCCGGCCTTTAGTAGTTCCCTGCGGATTATCGTCGCGCTTTACATAACGGGAATTACTACGGGGCAGCGGCCGCAGCAGGACTATTATGCGGGGCACCGGCCAGCCATGGGAGCCGCGGGCAGCAGCGGCTGTGAGCCGGGCCAACTGGAGGTAAGGCGGTGCCCGGTACAGGCGGGGGCTGCGGTGCCTCTGAGCATGTCCGGAGTGCCGGCTCGCCTGGCAATGGAAAGGGGAGGGGGGCGCCGGCTGCTGGGGGAGTCCGACGAGCTGGCGCGGCGCTGGGCCTTGGGGCCGGCCGCGATGGGCTCTGCGGCGGCAGGAGTCGCGCCCCGGCCGGGTGTGTGATCTGCCTTCTCCCGCAGGGCTCCCGCTTGCTGCCCGCTGCCTGGTGGGCGCGGGCCTGGAGGAGCGTCCTTGCCAACGCGGGTTCCCCTCTGCTGGGCGCCAAGGCTGAGCGGCGGGCCTTGACGGCGGAGGAGACGCAGGCGGCGCAGGAGCGGGGTTTGCCCCAGGGCGTCGCCCTCTTCTTGCCGGAGTTCCCCGTCCGGCCTCCGCTGGGGCCGAGCCAGCTGAAGGTGGGGGCTTCCTTCTTCTGGACTGCGGGGTGTGTGTGTCTCCGCTGGGGCCGAGCCAGCTGAAGGTGTGGGGCTTCCTTCTTCTGGACTGCGGGGTGGGTGGTGGTGGGGGTGCGTCTCTTGGATGCCGAGGGTTGTCAGTCTCCAGGCAGGGGCTGGAGATCTCCCGGAATCACGGCTGGTCTCCAGGCTGCATTAAATCGCTTGTCCATCTGTTTGTTTATTTAAGACATTCATTCCACTTTTTCCTGTAGGACGTGGCTGCTTTGAAAGGTGGCCTGCTTGGCATTATACCCTCCCAAACCAGTGTTCCCTCTAAGCTGAGTTAGTGTGAGCTAGCTCACAGTTTTTTAGTCTCCAGCTCACACATTTTTTTTCTTAGCTCAGGAAGGATGACTCCAAAGCAAGCTAGTGTATGCAGAAGCCTAATCCCTCGCTCACAATGTTAACACCAGTAGCTCACAATATAGAATTTTTGCTCACAAGACTCCACGGCTTAGAAGGAACATTGCTCCCAACATCTCTCCCTCCCCTAAACCCCACCCTCCCAAGCTCCACCCTCAAATCTCCAGGTACTTCTGAATGCAGGCTTGGCAGTCTCATTCAGGCGGCTTGCCTTCTCCTTGCCAGGTGCTGGGCTTGGTGGCCAAGGGCTCCTTCGGGACGGTGCTGAAGGTGCTGGACTGCCGGCAAGAGCGGCTCTTTGCCGTCAAGGTGAGCCTCGCCCTGCCCCTCCCGCCTGTCGCCCTCTTCTTGGCACTCACTCATGCAGGTCGCTTCTTCTGCAGGTGGTGCCCAAAATGGAGGTGCTTCGCCGGGACAGCCTAAAGCAGTGTAAGGAGGAGGTCAGCATCCAGGTGGGTGTCCTGGTATGTGGCCTCTTGGCACAAACAGAGGCATGAAAGGCAAATATTGTTGGATAGTGCAACTCTGCATGCAAGAGGATCTGGGAGGGAAATGGTTAAGAGAATTCTCTCTTTTGGGTACACTTCTCTCTCTTACCTGGGCTTGGAACTGTAGCTACTTAACCTTTTTGAAAGTTAATCTGCTTGCAAAAGGTTAAACGTGCTTCTGTTTTAACAAGTAAAATTTACTTGCCTTATTACCACTGGAGTCAGATCATCTTTGTAATTTATTGGAACAGCCTTTTCCCCTTAACTGGGAAACGTGGAGAATCAAGAATACTGCGTAAAGCTTCTGTGCTTCCAAGGCAAAAATTTTTTTTACATTTAACCCAGTAAATATTCCCGCAGCAGTCCAGTGGTCCGAGCAGGACTTTCTTTGCACCGTTGCACGTGAAGAAATATACCTAACCAGATTAGATTTGAGCCTTTTGTCCATTTTTCTAAAAAAAACCCAACGTTTTGAGTTTGGGCTGAGGTAGCCTACACAACTCCCCTGATGGCCCAGGCTAGTCCTGTCTCAGATCTTGGAAACTAAGCAGGGTCAGTCAACCCTGGTCAGTATTTGGATCAGAGACCACCAAGAAATTCCATGGCCTCTGTGTCGAGGCATAGCCCTGACCCATGAAGCTGAGCAGTCAGCCCTGGCTAGTATTTGGATGGGAGACCACCAAGGAACACCAGGGTCATGACAAAGAGTAGGCAACGGCAAAACCAACTCTGAACATCTCTTGCTTTGGAAACCCTACAAGGTTACCATCAATCAGCTGTGAGTTGACGGCAAAAAACAGCAACAATGTGCAGAGGCAGGCGATGGCAAACCACCCCTGTTCTTCTCTTGCCTTGAAAACCCTACAGGGTCACGTGAGTCGACTGAAATTTGATGGTGCTCTTTTATGCACACAAGCAGCCTACCTCAAGTGACCCTGTCACCTGGTTTCTCAAGGGGAGCAGGTCATGTGTTGGCTTTGGACTCCTTTTGTTTCGTTCTCCTGTTCCCTCTTGTTGGGGGAGGGCAGGAAGGAGTAACGGGGAAACAAACATGGGGCATGACTTTTTCTGTCTGGGCATTTCTGCCCCCTTGTGAAGGTGACCTCACTTGTTTGACTCCTTACGAGATCTTTGAGGTGGCCAGCCACCTGTGAGACCAGGTGTGTCTCCTTGAGGGATGTAAAAATAACAGGACTGGATTTCCTAGAACAAGCCCGTTCTTTGGGTGTTAGCCATTGATCTAAAGAGTCGCCTGCACTGCATGTTTTTTGTACTGTGCTGGATTCAGAGTTCTGTAGTCGCTTCAGCAGGGAGACAGTGTGGCGGAATGGTAAGGAGAGACCCTGAGTCTCTGCTCAGCAGTGACGCTTCCTGAATGCTCTTGAACCTGGCTCCCTCTCTGTCATCATGACTTGCTTGTGGGGCTGCGAGAGTGGAATGGAGGATGAGATCTGTGGAAGAAGGGCAAAGTGGAAACATGATGTGGTGGATAAAGGGAGACACATCACGCACCCAAGGAATAACACTTCTTTTATTAGTGTCACTCTTTGTCTATCTGCCGTGGCTCAAGTGGTTAAGATGCTGAATTGCAGACCGGAAGGTCGGTAGTTCAGCAGTTCGAGACCCGAGTGACGGAGTGAGCTCCCGTCTCTGGCCCCGGCTCCTGCCAACCTAGCAGTTCGAAAGCAAGAAATTGCAAGTAGATAAATAGGTACCGCTTTGGTGGGAAGGTAACAGCGTTCCGTGCACCTTGGCGTCTAGTCACGCCGGCCACATGACCACGGAAACGTCTTTGGACAGCACTGGCTCTTCGGCTTTGAAACCGAGATGAGCACTGCACCCTAGAGTCGGATTCGACTGGCTTTCGAGCAAGGGAAACCTTTAGCTTTACTATGCCTATCTGATTTCTTTGCATATTCTCCTTGAGGACAGTCTCTACTTAAATTTTGCATTGCCCCTACATGGGCCTTCCCCATTCTGGCCCCCACCTTCTGAAATGCCCCGCCAGGTGAGATCAGGAGGGTTTCCACTCTCCTGGCTTTCCATATACGATGCAAAACTGAATTTTTCAGGAGGGCTGTTTTGCACAGGTGATAGGGGCTGTACAGTAACAAAACAATTCCTGAAAGATGCTCGGGTAAAGCGTTAAGGATTGCCATCGGTACTATTGTGTATAGTTTGTATTTAATTTATTTATTATACTGGATTTATTGGCCACCTTTCCCCGCGAGCGGGGCTCAGGGTAGCTTACATCAGAGATAAATACAACATACTTGAGTTAAGACAACGTGAAACCTAATTGCTGGCACTGTAACGCAAAAGAAGGGTGGTACTCTCACTTATGGTGGGAATGCCCAAAGGTGACAGATTTCTGGGAAAAGATACGGGGGGGGGAAATAGCAGCGCTATGTAAAGTCAAACTGGATATAGATGTAGATTTATTATTTATGGGTGTATTGGGAAATCAAAGAATTGAGAAACAAAATCAGGATATTTTCAAAGTAATGTTATTAGCAGCGCATGCAGTGATTGCATATGGTTGGAAGGAGAACTCAAAATGGACTTTAGAAAAACGGAATGATATATGAATATATACAATCAGATATATTGGAATGTTTAAAGCAAGATAAGATATGGACTGCAAAAATGAAGGAGATAAAAAAGAAATGGTCGGTATACTTTAAATGGGTTTATAAAGGGGAAGCCAACAGGGGTATATTGGAAAAGTTGGAAAGAATGTGCTCGTGGTTGAAAATGTAATTTGAATAACATGATGTTGGCCACCTTAGGGGGGGAGGGATAAAATAGGGGAAAAGAAGTATCAAAATTTTTGGAACTAAACTGTAATGTAATAACAATATTGCGATCAATGTTCCCTCCAAGCTGTGGAGGCTTGTGAGCAAAAAATCTATTTTGTGAGCTCCTGGCATTAAAGTTGTGAGCAAGCAATTTGGCTACTGCATCAATTAGTTTGCTCTGGAGCCCTCCTTCCTGAGCAAAGACAAAGATGTGTGAGCCGGAGGCTAAAAAACTGTGAGCTGGCTCACAATAACTCAGCTTAGAGGGAACACTGATTGCGATGCAATTTAAAAAATTATAAAAAAAAGAGTTAAGACAACGTTAAAATACTTAAAGACAGTCAGAAAAACAGCACTAACTCCAAGATGACGGTAATTTCCACCAGCCCCCTAGATGGAGAGGATACGCAGGAATAAAAGGGGAGGCTGAAGTGGGAGAGTGGGAGACTGTCGCTGTCCTCAGCCAAGTGCCTGGTGGAACATCTGCACAGTCCGTGGCTTTCAGTACTGTATAACTTTTGCCGTGTTTTAACATGTCACATTCGTACTTCTGTTTTCGGGGTTCTGGTCGATTTCAGATTTCTGCAATCCAGATTCTATTGTGTGGTTTACTGGATGTCCCATCCTGCTGATTGTATTAACTTACTGTGTGTAATCCACCATGAGACTCAGTAAGAAAGACTATAAGTAATGCAAATAAATAAATTCCCATAATGGAGAAAATCTGGTGACAATTTAGGAGTGTAGCATCCCCCTCCCCTTCCCTGCCCCCAGAAATGTCATATAAACTTTTAAAGGGTTTTGGGTAAATGCTACCTGTGATTCTTTCCTTTTACTTTGTCTGTGTTGCAGCCAGTTGACATTTTTGCTTTGGCGAGGCGTGGGGCTCCTGTCCTCCCCCTCCCCAACTCATCCAGCCCCTTTCTTTTGTTCCCTAGAAGCAGGTGAGCCATCCGTTTGTCCACTGCTTAGGGGACAGCTGGCAGGGGCAGCGCCATCTCTTCATTAGTGAGTGATCTCTTGTCTGCCCTGTGGGCATCGCCTAGACTAGAGACCCCTCCTTCCCCCGCTTGGCCGTGCTTGTGCTATCTGTCTCCACCCCACCCATGTGACTGGTGTTTACTTCTCCCAAAATGCCCCCTTCCCACACTGCCCATCCACATGCTCTGCAGATTAAGTGTAGCTTGTTCCCTCTCCCTAATGAGCACCGTCAACAGGGATCAAGGGATTTCCCTTCTGCAGGCATACAGGCCTCAAATCCCAGCAGGTCCCTGCCTTCCAGAATTTTCTCCAACACCAGCGACAGGGCACTGCTGGCTTAAAGAACAAAGCATTCTGAGCGCTCCAACTGGGAAGACAAGGATGAGCAAAATCTGTACAAGCGCCAAAAATAACATCTGTCTTTTCTCTTCTCCCCCCCAAACCAGTGTGCACATATTGCAGTACCGGAGACCTTTACACCTTCTGGAAGTCTGTGGGCCCTTTTACGGAAAGCATCATCCGCTTGTTTGCCACAGAGCTGGTTCTGGTGCTAGGTGGGTGTCTGTGATCAATCTGCTCACCTTGGTGGAGTGAGGAAGAAGAGCAAGGGAGTGTTTGCAGCTTCCATCACCTGTTTTGCTGGAATATGTGGAGGGGGGGGAAGCTGGCTTTTGGATATTATAGGATGCTCATCGAGCCGTGTTCCTCATTGGCATGCCCCAGTTTTGCTCAGAGGTATGCCACCAACGTAGCTCGTTTAGCGATGCAATGTAATCCTTTTGCCACCTTGGCCTAGATCCAAGGCCAGAGGAGCACCCGAGCCATTAAATCAAAGAGGGATTTGGGGTAGTGATTCTCTCCTTGTTCCTGTGGTATAATTTAAGGCGAGTGTTAAATTCTCTTCTGAGTGTGATAATCTCTGGCTTCCCGTTGATTCATATTTTTGGAGCTCTTGCCAAGTGGAGCTATTCCGAAATCCTGGGAACAGCTGCGAGGTCTCCTGCCTCCAAATGGGCTAGGTCACCCGAGGAAACAGGTGGATGAGGATTTGTCTTGTATTGATGGGATCTGATTCCCAAGTGTGATCCCACCTTGCCATTCAAAACCAGTGTGCAAAAGGAGGCCAGCCAGTGCTCAGGTAGATGTCTCTGCAAACCTGTTTTTAAAACGGGGTGTTCAAAATGCCACTCTCCCAAATGAACGAAGGCATTTACAGACGCTGCAGTGGAACAGGAACTTTGGGTGCCATTTTTCTGTAACAACTCAAAAGGAAGCCTAATAACAGAAGGGGGGGGGGACGGAAGAGAAGAGAGAATCACAAGATCGGAAGGGAGAAAGAGGAGAGCTGATGGGATGAATGGCAGGCTGGTTCAGCAAGGGGGGGGGACACATATGCGGCAGACAGTGGAGGGGGGGGGGTACCAGAATAGACCAGGCAGACAGCTGGGCAAGGGAACTAGAGGGGGGGGAACAAAAAGAAAGTGGGTTATGGGGAGGGAGAGCGTGGGGGAGAAGGAAAGCTGAGATTTCTTTATTTTATTTATTTGGATATTTTACCCCATTTTTCTCCACCGAATGTGGTCTCAAAGCAGCTTACAATATCAGAAAGCATACAAAGATGCAGCAAATCTACCTGGCAGCAACACACTATTGCACAGGGGGAGGAACAGAGAACAGAGCAGGTGGTAAAAGCTTTGCCTCTGATGGCAACAGTCCTCTTCTTTCCTTCCAGGAGGCAGCTCCCTTTAGGCTTGCAGGGCTGGCGTGAAGGAGCAGAGCGGGTGGTAAAAGCTCTGCCCTTGATGGCAACAGTTTCCCTCCAGGCATGGAGTGGAGAAAGGTGGCCCAAATGGGGTGAAAGGAAAAGGAGGGGAAGTGTGGGCCACCAGTAATGGGAATGAGATTTCCCCTTCTCGGGGGTCCTCGCGGGTCCCCAGCTTTTGTAGCATCTAAATTCTTTCTTTCCTCCCCCAGGATATCTTCACAACCTGGGCATTGTGCACCGTGATGTCAAGGTACAAAGCATGTTTCTTTCCCCTGGGGCGGTTGTCTTCTTCAGGGTAGGGCCATTTATTCCAAATTTGTTCTCTTCACTGGAAGACATTTGCCCAAGTAGTCCTCCTCCTTACCCACCTCTTTTCTCCCCTTCTGTGAGACAGCTGTTTCTTGCCCAGGGGAAGAGAGACATGGGACCAAATCTGAACAGCTTGTAGCAAAGGGGGGTACAGAATGGGTAAGGCTGGGTGGCCCTGCCTTACTTTGGCTATTTCTTCTTTGCAGATGGAAAATATACTCCTGGATGAACGAGGTATGTTTTTCGAAGTCAGTGGGGTGGGATGGGACAGGTGAAAACCTTCCTGTAACTCTATAACTAAAGAGCACAAATGTTGTGCTAGATGTTAATCCACGGAGCCAGGCAAGCTCTTTAACAATGAAAACACCGAACTCATCAACAGTATGTAATACATTATAACAGTGATGGCGAACCTTTTAGAGACCGAGTGCCCAAACTGCGACCCAAAAACCCACATTTATCGCAAAGTGCCAACACGGCAATTTAACCTGAATACTGAGGTTGTACTTTAGAAAAAACAACTCATACATTAACTTAAGATGATCCAAACAAAGTATGGAACGCAATGCCAAATGCTTTCATTTACTTTAAATTATTTGGCAGAGAATTCGACACTTTAATGATGGTCTGGGCCTGGCTGGGGCGATGGCACGCATGCCCACAGAGAGGGCTCTGAGTGCCACCTCTGGCACGCGTGCCATAGGTTCGCCACCACTGCATTATAAGGTATCTTGTGGACAAAACTGATCAATGAATACACCTTTAAAAACATTATCTGATGGTACCGATTGTCTTACATATGTTCAAACCGCGTACTTTGAGTAAATCCTTGTTTTAAAAAGCATGCCTTCTATTCATTTGAAAAGAAACTACTTTCTAGGAGTTTTTTAAGCTCCCCGAAACCTCTACTAGAAAGAAAAGTCCATGGCAGGGAACGTTTCCCCCAAATTTTCTAATGAGAGAGATCAAGATGCGTACCCATTGTTTGTCTGTCCTGTTTTTAGCAGTAGAAAAGAGCAAGAGTCCAGTACCAGTGTTCCCTCTAAGCTGAGTTAGTGTGAGCTAGGTCATAGTTTTTTAGCCTCCAGCTCACACATTTTTGTCTTAGCTCAGGAAGGATGGCTCCAAAGCAAACTAATTTATGCAGCTGCCAAACCGCTTGCTCACAACTTTAATGCCAGTAGCTCACAAAGTAGAATTTTTGCTCGCAAGACTCCACAGCTTAGAGGGAGCATTGTCCAGTACCACCTTAAAGGCTAACAAAATTTTTAAACTAACACTAGATCTGAAGAAGTGAGCAGTGACTCACGGAAGCTCCTCCCCTGCCACAAATTTGGTTAGTCTTCAAGGTGCTCCTGGACTTTTGCTCTTTTCTACTGTCCCAGATTTTCTGTGGCAGTCTTACTTTGCATGTGCTTATCTGGGACCAATGAGGTATGTGGGTTATGCCCCTCTCTTGGAGGGTCCCACCAGGCAGCACTCTCATGCCATCCTCTTCACACACCCCCCCCCCAGGGCACCTGAAGCTGACTGACTTTGGCCTTTCCCGCCATCTGCCTTGGGGCAAGAGGGCCTACACGATCTGCGGGACCCTCCAGTACATGGGTAGGACTCTAAAGGCAGTAGCCCTGATGGAGAGGGGTGGGCTTGGTGGCTACCGCTGGGGTTCTGACCTCCCTCTCCTTTCTTTCTGCCAGCCCCCGAAGTACTGAGCGGGGGTCCCTATTCCCACGCTGCTGACTGGTGGTCTCTGGGTGTGCTGCTTTTTGCCCTGGCCAGTGGAAAGGTGAGCACATGGACATTACCCTGCAGGAACAGGAAAAGGCGGCTGAGCCCTTCCAGTATCTTGAGGCATGATGGGAGGGGCTGTGGCTGAGTGGCAGAGCATCTGTTTGATATGCAGAATGTCCCAGGTTCAATCCCTGCCATTTTCAGTAAAAAGAACCCAGCAGTGGGTGATGTGAAAAACCTCTGCTTGAGATCTCAGCTGCGTAGCCAACACTGACCTTGGTGGACCAAGGGTCTGGTTTAGTATAAGGCAGCTTCATGTGTGCATGGGAGCCTGCTGTATACTCCTGGAAAGGCACAAGTGGGGCGGGGCAGGAATGGTCCTTTCCCAGCATGTGGCAGATAGATTGCCTCTGAATATGGAGGTTCCATTTAGCCGTCACGGCTAGTAAGCCCTAGCTAGATCTCCCACAAGCCTTTGGGTAATCCTGTTTTGAAACCATCTAAGTTAGTGGCTGTGGTGGCTCAAGTGGTTAAGACGCTGAACTGCAGGCTGTGGAAGGTCAGTAGTTCAGCAGTTCGAGACCCGGGTGCCTCATGATGGAGTGAGCTCCCATCTCTAGTTCCAGCTCCTGCCAACCTAGCAGTTCGAAAGCAAGAAATTGCAAGTAGATAAATAGGTACCACGTCAGTGGGAAGGTAACAGCGTTCCGTGCGCCTTGGTGTTTAGTCATGCCGGCCACATGACCATGGAAACGTCTTCGGACAGCGCTGACTCTTCGGCTTTGAAACTGACATGAGCACCGCAGCCCTAGAGTCAGATTCGACTGGCTTTCGAGCAAGGGAACCTTTACCTTTAAGTTAGTGGCCATCGCCACTTCTTGTGGCAGTGGGTTCCATAAACTCTGAAGAAAGTTTCTAATGTCACTCCTGCTCCTGGTCAGGGCTTTTGAGGGGAGGATGAGAGGTTGACCCTTAGTTCTAGCTTATGTCAAGTGAGGGAGAAAACCTTCCAGCTCTCCACTTTCCCCCCTTCCAGTTCCCAGTTGCCCCGGAGAGAGACCACAAGGCCATGCTCCGGAGCGTGCAAGGCTGTAGCTACACCACACCAGTCACTCTCAGCCTAGGCCTACGTCTTCTCCTCAGTGAGGTAAGTTTTTATGCTGGCCCCTTGCCTCCTCTCTCCAGCACGTGTCTGCCCGCCCCTGCCATTCAGTGGTGCTGTCAGACGTGACAAAACGTGAGTTGCCGTGCACCTGCATGTTTCGAAAGGTCCTCCAGTGAGCAGTCTCGGGGCTTTTTTCCTGGGGGGACATGCTGGAACCGAGTTTCAGAACCTCTTTGACAAAATTATTTTTAAAATGTTTAAAAGGTCATGAGTTTTTAGTATACGGACTGAAAACGTCACTTCCCTCTTGAGAGCTCCGGCACCCCCCCCCCCCCCCCAGGAGCTCATTAGCATAGCTCATTCGCATATGCCACACCCCCTGACCTCACCGGAAGTGTGTCAGAAGGCAACACCTACCGCTCAGGCTCCACTGAACTGTTTTGGATTGCTAGCTGTTGGGGGAGGGACGCGCAGATCTGTCCTCGCAGATGAGGGAGAGCTTGTACCTGAATAAAACTTGGTCTTAAAGGTGCCACTGAATTGTTTTGGACCAGGGGGAGCTCTGCAACTTACCTGGCTGCTTCTTGCTCTGAGGGCTGCTGGGAGCAGGGGGAGGGGCTTGTTGCATGTGCCCGCCCCCTGGGCTCTTTACTGCCGGAGCTCCGCTCCTGTGCGCTCCTGCAGGAAATGACCCCTGATAGAGGTCATTTATTATCCCTCTTTTCTCTCCCTTAAGGTATGAAAGTGACTTAAGAACACCTAATTAAAATAAATGACAGTTAAGCAAAATTGTGTGCCTAGAAGTCATGGTTGACTTCTGGAGACCCCTAGTGGGGCTTGGACGTTTCATAGAGGTGGCTTGATTAGCCTGCCTTTTGTGTCCCGGCCCCGGTATTCCTTGGAGGTCCCCCTTCCAAGTACTTGCCAGAGTCAGCCCTGATGAGCTTCCAAGATCTGAGGAGATAGGGCTTGTCCGGGCTGTCCAGGTCAGGCACCCTTTGGGCTGCTCTTGAGGCCAGTGATGCTGCTGCTGCTGCTGCTGCATTGGCTGCTCTGCAGCTTTCTAGGCTGTCTAAACTTCTGCTTGACTCCAGACTTGGCACCTTAAGGTTGCCAGTTGGGAAAAACCTGGAGATTTTGGGGGGTGGAGCCTGAGGAGGGACTTAAATGGGGCATAACACCATAGAGTCCACCTTTCCAACGCAGCCCTTTTCTCCAGGGGAACTGCTATCTTATCACCTGGAGATCAGTTGTAATAGCAGATCTCCAGCCATGACCTGGAGGTTGGCAGCCTCCGCAGCTCCTGCTAGCTGAAAGCAGCTGGAGGAAAGCATGCCTCCGTCATTAAATTCCTCTTCTGAGAATGACTGTCCTCTGACCTTCTCTGCTTAAGCTGATTGCTGGCTGCTGACAAGTTGGTCACGCAAGCTGGTCTTCGAGAGCTCGTTGAGCTGCAAGATGAGCAGCTGCCTCCTTGCACGCAGGCTGGGTATGGCTGGTGTAATAACAGAGTATCATGGAAAGAAGCAGAAACGGGGATAAGAAACAACTGCAAAACGATAGCTAAGCAATGTGAATGACTATATTAACCATAGCTCGTACCACAGAAAAATCATCCATAGGTTCAATAGAAAGACTCTTAGTACGGTGCCACACTCAAGCTCAATCGATGTGCAATGTCTGGGACGCTCCCATTCCGGCTGCTTTATCAAAGACGGAACAGAATGTCTTCCTGTGCATCCATGTCTTGCCACTTCTCACAGAATTTCATTTACAGCTGTAAATGTTACGTCTTTGATAAAGCAGTGATGGAAACGAACTCAGAGGCCGGCAGGATTCGTTAGCCGGAACGGGAGTGTCCCTGAAATCGCACATCCTCCTCCTGCATAGTCAACAGGAGCGGTGGCACAGGGGATTTATCCTCGGGTTAATACATCTGAGCTGAACAGAGCTGCTGTCAGTTCTAGCCCCGTGCTGGTGTGAGCTACCAGCCTTGTTCCCAGCTCACCGTCCACCCAGCGGTTCGAAAGCTTCGGCGAGTAGATAAAATGGGTACCACTCCTTAGAGAGGGTGGGCACACTAAACCCCCCGGTGGGGGAGGTATTAGCCGGCTAACAGAATGTCCAGCACGTAAAACCGAAAAGCCTAGAAAGAACTCTTTGGCATCAAAGAAGCCTGTAATGGACCGTCCGGCCAGGCGGTGGCAGTGCTGTGCTGCAACTTGAAGCAGCCCGGAGAAAGCTGACGACATCAAGCCACGCTGAGGGAAAAATGCCGCTGGAACACGTCTGACCTTACAGCTGAACAAACTCCCCGTCGGCTGCGAGCGTGTGTGATTTAAAGATTATATGTTGTCCTCCCTTACCCCTTGAATCATTTTTAGTCCCGTGTGTATTTGAGTAACTGTAAATCACTCAGAGCCAGCAAGCTCTGCAGGATTGAGTGATTAATAAATTGAAAGATTGTTATTAATAATAATAATAATAATAATAATAAATAATCTGCTGTTTATCACATCTCTATGTTTGAAGCGGGAATATTTGGAAAAGTCTCTATTGAAAGTTTACATATTCCGAATGGACTACTTTGCGGCACAGAGCACTTGAAATATCCGTGAACTGTATTTTTCATTGTACCTCTATTGGCCTATGATTGAACTGAGTGTTGCACCTTACTAAGAGTCTTTCTATTGAACCTACAGATGATGTCCATCAAGTGGTTTACATCGCTTAGTCATTGCTTCACGGTTGCTTCTTACGCATTGTTTTTTCCTTGTGTGACTGGTGTCCTCCTCTGCTTCCAGCTCCTGTGCCAGGACCCGCAGCGCCGCCTGCGGTACCCCCACCACTTCCGGGGCCACCTCTTCTTCCACGGAATGACCTTTGATGCCGAACTCTTGCAAAAGCAGCCGGTGGATTTTGTGCTGCGCCTGCGGCAAGCCAAGGACACCGTTTTGGACACCGCCGCCGCCTTTTCTGATTTCGACTGTGACCTCTTGAGTCCCGGAAGCCAGCCTTGGCCTGGCTGAGGCTGCTGGGTAGGGGAAGGGGTGCTGGAGGCCATTGGGCCATCTCGACAAGCAGCATCCAGTTCTCAGGAAACCAGTGGAGAATCAGCCGGGGAAGCCCATCTGGCTGTTCCCCCCCACCCCCGCCCCTTTTGCCCAGGGCATCTTAACTAGGGCCTTTTTCCTTCCTTGGTCTCCTTCCATCTTTAAGGACAGTGCAGCAAGGCTCTAACATGAAGAATCCGTGCTGAAAGATGCCTGGGATGGTGAGGAGGGAAGCAAAGAGACAGCTGCCTCAGTGGGGCGTGGAGGAGGGGGCAGAGAGCAGTGGTGGCAGGCAACGCTCCCTCTAAGCGGTGGAGTCTTGTGAACAAAAATCCCGCTTTGTGAGCCACTGGCATTAAAGTTGTGAGCGAGCGATTTGGCTACTGCATAAGTTAGTCTGCTCTGGAGCCCTCCCTTCCTGAGTGAAGACAAAAATGTGTGAGCCGGAGGCTAAAACACTGAGCTAGGTCACGCTGACTCAGCTTAGAGGGAACGCTGGTGGCAGGTAGCCTCTTCTTGCATTATTGCAGCAACGGCTCCCTCCACGTTGCTTTGCGGGGCAGCCAACCACAAGGATCTCGGGAGTGCCTGCCAGGCACCCTCCCTGCACTGGCAGGGGTGCTGGATGAGGCTGCCCACCAGCCCCTTGCCAATAACTCCAGTGCCACCGTGCGCTTTGGAAAATTCCTTTGGAAAAACCTTTGGAAATTCAGGACATGGTGGGGGGGTTCCTCTCGGCGATCAGATGCAAAGGAGGCAGTACAGTGTTTTAGCTGTAGGGTGAGCATAGGTGGCTGAGTAAGCAGGCCTTTGAGTTTCACAGAATCCCTCTGCAAGTGGAATGGACATAGCAGGAGTATTTTGCCATTTCCCACTTCTCTCTGATCCAGAAGAGGCCTGCGAAACCCAGAGGCTTGTGTTTTCCTCTGGCAGTCTGACTGGTAGTAATTGTTTTTTGTCCTTGTTTTTGTATGAGACAAGAGTTGTACATTTGCTAGGACATGCTCCTTCCTTTCCCTTTTCAAGTTACACTCTGTGCCAACCCCCCCCCCCGCCACCAGTGGATGGAGTCAGCTTTGGAGTCTTCTCCCTGTTAACCAGAATGGTGGAGCTGCCTCAGCAGCCTGTCTGTTTATTTTGTGCTTTGTGCAGGCAGGTAATAATAAAGCCATTCCATCTTGTATGCAGCCACAGAGTGTTTTCATGGGGCATCCCGCAGTCTCCGAAGGTGCAGTTTGCAGTGGGGGAGATACCAGTTCTGGAAGAGAAAAGACTTCCCTCTTGACATGTACCTGCTAAGGGCAGAAGAACTGTGTGTCATCCTTTGTTATTGGGGAAACGGTTTTACCTTTAAACATTCTCTGTGTATATAAACTTGGTAGTTTTCTGCTGCCATCAAGAATTAAAATTCCAATTCTCTCTCTTTTGGTAGTATGACCTAGGGTCTGGGCACTTTAGAGCACTATGTGGTCCTGAGGAAGTACTGTACTGATTTTTGGGATAAGTTTAAACAAAAATTGATTTATTTAGTAAAGGACAAAATAGGTTTCTGGTTATTTTGAACAGTTGCTGACGAAAGGAACTTGTAAAAAGCTTGGTGCTACAAACAGTCTCTCAAACTCCAAACTCCACTCTGACAGGCTTATACATCTATATAGATATATATCGCCACACAGGCTCGTATCTTTGTTTTATTCACACTGAATAGAATCAACTGTCTTAGTCACACAGACTAAACTGTTGGTCTTATTCACACAAAATTAGGCTCAGAATTCCATAGTCACACAGACTATGTTCTCTCTTCAAGCTTCACATACAGAATCCTTCATAACTCTTAAAGTCACACAGACTCTCTTCAGACTTGTCTTTCTCATAATACAGAATCCTCAAACACACACAGATTCCTCTCAGACATCCCTCCTCCCACACTCTGTCAGCAGCCAATCAAATCACACTTGTCACCCTCTATCACTCTTCGCATATTACTGCATTCAAACTAAACTTTTAAAGGAACACGCACACCAAAAACATGAAATCATTACAAACTGCTTTGCTAGGTCAGGTCAGAGCTAAGGTTGCCAACTCCGGGTCTACCCTCCAAAGCACCACTTTTCTCCGTTTCTGCCCCCAAACATTTTCCCCTCTGCTCTAGAAGAAGAAGAAGAAGAGAAGAGATTGGATTTATACCCCACCCTTCACTTGGAGTCTCAGAGCGGCTTACAAACTCTTTTCCCTTCCCCTCCCTACAACAGACACCCTGTGAAGTGGGTGGGGCTGAGAGAACTCTGACACAAACTGCTCTTTTTCAAGGACAGCTGTGCCAGAGCTTGTGACTGACCCAAGGTCACATCAGCAGGTGCAAGTGGAGGAGTGGGGAATCACCCAGATTAGAGTCTGCACACTTAACCACTACACCAAACTGGCTCTAATCATGCTGATTACGATACGCATTGTACCTTTGCCTCCTTCACAAGCATTCTTTACAGCACCCTCCTGACTGGAATATAAAGAACTCAGGACACCATGCCTAATTGTATATCTGGTGAAGGAAGCTTTGAGTCTTGAAAGCTCATAGCCTGGAAGTCTTGTTGGTTTCTAAGGTGCTACGGGACTCAAATCTCACCATTCCACTGCACACCAACACCGCTGTCTTCTGAATAGGGTTGCCAGCTCTGGGTTGGGAACTACCTGGAGATTTTGGAGGTGGAGCCTGAGGAGGGCGGGGTCTGGGGCCTAGTGCCACAGAGTCCAACTTCCAAAGCGGCACTTAGTTCCAGCTGAACTGATCTCTGTCACCTGGAGATCCATTGTAATAGAGGGAGCTATCCAGCCCCCACCTGGAGGTCGGCAGCCCTCTTTTCTCCTTGGGAACTGATCTTGGTGGTCTGTTCTTAATTCCAGGAGCTCTCTGGGCCCCAACTGGATGTTGGTACAGTGCCACAGGTACAGTGCCTTTCAGCCTGGAGGTACCGTTTTGGCTCTAACTGCTGAAAAGTTTAAGCCTGTTCTGCCGGACTGCTCTTTAAATTGTAGGATGGGGTGGGGGGGGCAGTGAACGGGAAAAGACAGAGGTGGGTGGTAGGTTGTGGCTGGCTTGAGCAGTGTAGCACCCTGCATCACTCTGTCCCTGCTGAGAGCCCTCTGTCAGGAGCAAACTTTATGCCCTGCTTTGCTTTTGGGCTGTGTGGAGTCAAGCCTTTTTTCAGAAGGCTTTTCTTGAAGGGGGGGGGTCACTTTGCACATAGACAAACTCTTGTTTGTAATGATGCAAACAAAAGTCCAACTGGACCAACTTGTTACTTCCCATATTGGGTGTCCCTGTCCCTGGCCACCACCACCCCTTGAATTCAGAGGTATATTAACCTACGGAGGTTCTTACTTAGTCATTGTGGAGAGAAATATTTTTTTTCGTTCTCTCCCTTCTCCCCTTGGAGGGAGGGGAATGGTGCTCGGGGGTTCAAAAGGGTTTGGTGAATGGCCTCTTACCTCAGACCATGGCCAGCGCAGAAAAGGAAACTGAGCTCTGCAGGTGGGCAGAGCTGAAATCACACACACTAATAGCCTCAATCATGCATAACCGTTTATTTAAGGGTTAGTACAAGGTTAACATTAACAATGAGAAACTCTTCGAATACACATAATAACAATAATAACACTAAGCATGCAAGAAGACGAGACAAAGAACCAGAAAGAAAGAGAAAAGCAGAGGCCTCTGGGTGTATTCTAGGAGACAAGATACAAACGGGTCACAGTACAGTAACAGGCCAAGAAACAGGAAATCACTGTGATCAATGACAATGACACATTTAATAAATTTTACATTGAAACAAAGTCCAACAATTCATTTACTCAATATTACATTAAAAACAGAGTCCAACTTATTCATATTCTCAACAGAGTATAGCATTTCCCTCTCATTACTCAATGAGTACACCGGTTTGTACACTCATTTCATTATCTTCCTCAAGAGTAATCTTATAGTTCTTATAGAGTTGGAAGGTGTTTTCTTCTATGAATTATCAGTTCCATTGCATTTCTTAAGTAGGAGCAGGCCAATAAATTGAATGTCTATTTGTAGCAAGCAGTCCATATTTTGTGTGGCAAAAGCCTACTTTAAAATTGGCCAATTTAAAGTAGGCTTGTTGCCACATAAAATTATGGACCGGCTGCTACGAGTAAATATGATTGGGCTGCTCCTATTTTAGAACATGCAATGGAACTGTAAGTAAGTTTAAAATTTAAAATTATAGTTATAATTGATAACAATATTACTACACACAGCTTCATGTTTGTTTCTACTCCTTTCTAAGTGTAAAAACCGGTGTACTCATTGAGTAATGAGAGGGAAATGCTATACTCTGTTGAGAATATGAATAAGTTGGACTCTGTTTTTAATGTAATATTGAGTAAATGAATTGTTGGACTTTGTTTCAATGTAAAATTTATTAAATGTGTCATTGTCATTGATCACAGTGATTTCCTGTTTCTTGGTGTATTCCAGGAGACACAGAGAGAAGGACAAGTCTTCTCAGTATTTCCAAGAAGAGCGCGCTGATACCAGTTTGCTGGTCTCATACAAACAGATCAAAAGGAATTCCACAGGATTGACACCATTTCCAATTACATCAGGTTGACTTTGATGTGTAATAGATGTTCCTTTTCAAGCTGGCATGGGGAGGAACAAATTCTTTACCATGCATATTCCCAAACAATCATTCATTTGCCCAATGACATTGGAATGGGCACTGACAGGACATTTCTTGATGTTATTGGAGAAAAGATAACAAGGCTCCTCAGCCTGGTTTATGTTACACGGAAGGAGAGTGAAAGGCCAAGCCCTTTCACACTTATGCATACCAAAAGGAGAGTTAAAACCAAATTGTTTATTGCATTACAATACCTGCAGGCCTCTAAATTACTGGTTAAGACGCTGAACTGCAGGCTGTGGAAGGTTGGTAGTTCAGCAGTTCGAGACCCGAGTGCCGCATGACGGAGTGAGCTCCCGTCTCTAGTTCCAGCTCCTGCCAATCTAGCAGTTCGAAAGCAAGAAATTGCAAGTAGATAAATAGGTACCACTTTGGTGGGAAGGTAACAGGGTTCCGTGCGCCTTGGTGTTTAGTCATGCTGGCCACATGACCACGGAAACGTCTTCGGACAGCGCTGGCTCTTCGGCTTTGAAACGGAGATGAGCATCGCAACCCTAGAGTTGGACTCGACTGGCTTTCGAGCAAGGGAACCTTTACCTTACATGTAGATGCTCAAAGACCAGATGCAGAGGAAACAGGAAACCTGGGTTTCCCTTCTCAT